TGTTATTTCAATACACATAATATTGATTGTTCTACCCGCAATGCAAACTAATACTGCTGGGTTATACCCTGCATTAACTCACATGCCTAAAGCATGCCCAGGTATGGAAAACTTTTGACTCCATTAAATTGTTGAGCTTCAAAGGCAGCTCGAGGGTGAATGACACATTCAAGATACACTTTAGAAGAAGTACCATGGGGCTGTCAATCAGACATAACCCTTATTGCTGCTAGCTTTGGCTCCAACATGGTTGGAATCAATCTGCTGATTACATGCCCCTGTTAGTGGATTTTGAAACTCTAACATTTGACTGTGACCTAGAAAGGATATCTGGGAAATACATCAGCTTCCATCTGAACCTCAAGGCAAAAAAACCATGAGGAAGTCTGGACCCTGGCAAAAGCTAAGCTTAATACCACTGCAGACCAAGGCCTTGTGTGACAACAGAATCTCTGATGAAGAGTTCCACCTGGTGATGAAAACAGAAATAATATATAATGTCCATGAGGCCAATTCTGTAATCACAATCGATGAAGCTACAAAAATGAACTGAACAGGTGTGGACACAATGAAGCCTGGTTATCTTTTATCAAAAAGTTTTCTGTTAGCTCAGCATACCTTGTTTCTAGGAATAGAGCCTACTCCTGCCCTTTATGACTGAGGCAAGCATGTTCAGTGACATGTAAAACATCTACTGAACTATTGCCATTGTGGATAAAGGATGAGAGGAACATATGGTAGATATTGTGTGCCATCACTGACATGCCATCCTCATCATAAAGCCTCTTGTACCTCTTGCAGTGTGGTTGGTGAGAGGGTTGTCTGACCTGAGGTTCTTACAGCAACTTTCAGTATTCTTAACACACAATATACAGCTTTTTAGGGAGGTAGCCCATCCTCTGTCACTTGTTGAAGCCCACAGTATGCTACTTGTCAGTACTTACACTGCTAGATATTTTGATGAGCCGAAGAAACACAAGAAATGGAAGGTAAGAAGATATTTATAAATATGTTTTTCTTATGGTAGCTAATGTATTTCAATTCAAAAATCTGTTTTTTCATGGCCTATTGTGACACCCAAGATTTTTGTCTGGTGAGTTAATTATACTGTGTATCTGTACTTGGTTTATAGGGGTGACCCATCCCCATGCACTCACAGCATCTTTATACACAAATTGAATGTACTCAGAACCCTTATAATGAAGTTGTTACAAGATGAATTGTCTACAAATTGTATCAGATTTAGCCTAATATTGATTCTTAATTAAAAATCATATGAGAAAACGATTTTTTTCACAGGTTTCTTTCTCATTTTCAGGGTAGTGAAGCCATTCGTTACTTAGAATTTTGTATCAACGAACTACAAAACAGAGATCAAGCTATTCATAACTACTTGTTGGCATTATATGCTCGTCTTCAGAAGGATAAGTTAATGGACTATCTCATTTTACAAGGACAGGTAACACTTGCAAAAACAATCTAATAATTTTTCCGTAACAAATTTAAAAGCTAAAGTTTTAGACTGTCATATAAATTTCATTGAATGCTTTATATGCAAATTTGTGTACACGTTTTTTTATCTCATTAAAAATTTTTTAGTATTTAAAAAAAAGATTAAACTTGATTACCATTAGTAATATACCCCGGAGACTAGACCAATTAGGAGCCTCTGGTGGATACAATTTCTTCAATAGATGCATCCACATCAGATGATATCATAAATTGTTAATAATACTTAACATTTCTGACTGTAAATAATAATAAGAAGAAGAAAGATCACACTTGGATCAACAAATAGCTTATCATCCTTACTGCTATCCTGAAGCATTATAACAAGTTCTGAACCAGCTCACTATCATCATTTCATATGGTCATACAGGTTTTGTTTTGTTTAACTTTAGAAACAGTTGCTTTGGAACAGACTATGATTCACAAAGTACAGAAAAATAAATTGCCAGACAAGTGTGAGCAACATTTATAGTGCACAAAAAACATTTTCTCTTGTGTAGTTTTTTTGATAAATTGCCTATGGTATACAAACATGATTTACATAATATTTTTAGGAGTCTCTTATAAGTATTTGTATTATTATTTCATTTATTACTTAATGAGTACTTCATCATTAATCAATTTTTCTTTGTGGTAAATGTTATCACAGCTGCTTGAACAGCCTCCAGGTCATCATCTTCATTTGTTAATTTTTATGTGGTTTATCATATATCATGTCTAAGTTGTTGCTTGAATGTTAATCTTTTTAGTTATTCTATTCTAATCTATTTTCTTATACTTCATGAAAATTGTTCATTTACTAACTGTTTAGTGTCATGCAGTGCACTTGTTTTAGATACCAGTTTGCTTCTGTTCCAATATCATCCTTTAGGACCTGTAAATATATATTATATCAGTGACTTTTCTTTTCTTTTGAAACGTCTTTGTCTTCATTATTTACTTTTGTAGTACATTTTATGTTTTGAGAGTAAAAACATTTATGGGAAGTATTACTTGGAAAATTTAGAAAAATTCTCTATAAGTGATGATGTGACAGAACAAATGGACTCTTCTTCCTAGACTTGGTGACAACAGCTATATTGCACTGGAAGACTCATAGGTTAATATTTACCACCAGATCCCATTTGAAGAATTAGGAAATCACAGAGAAGTTCCTAAACCTAATGATGACAACCAGATTGCATTTAAGGAGTTGGACTATCATGTAGAATGTACTAAACATAATGCAATCAGTAATCAGATCACACTTGAAGAAACAATTAATCATATAGAAATTCCAGAGCCTAATCAGGTTTCACATGAAGAGTTAGATAACCAACTGGATATTTGTGAATTGGATGATGACCTGAAGATGATAGTCTTAACCTTCTTTATGAACCAGATGACCAGTTAAAAGTTCTTGAATATGAAAATTACAGTCAGATTAGTCAGATACATCGGTGGAATCTCCATTGATTACTTTTGACCAGAAGCATCAACCTTACTAAAGATATGTTTTTTTTTTTGTGGTACCATTTCCCTCTGATTAACATCACTTTTTCACACTTTCACAATTCAATTTTTGAGTTGAGTACTTTGTACATGCTTGAAAAATGATACATGTAATGGAAGAGGAGAAAGAAACATCAATGAGGATAATAATCAGAAGAAAATGGTACCATTAAAAAAAAAAGATATATTTTTCATCAACTTTGCCAAAGAACATAATAGTTTTTACGAAGATGAACACTCAAAAAAAGAAATGTAATTCAAAAGTAACTAACAGAGACAAAGGGTGTCCTACAGTGGACAGTCTCTGGATTGAGATGAATTTACGTACTCTAGCTGATGATATTGGAAGATAAACAAGGAGAAAAATTGAGAAATTAGTATCTGAAGGAAATGCATTCTGAGAAACTAAATGGTTGCTATGTGAAGAATTTTTTGCCAATTATTGAAAAAACATTTAGAGAAGAATATCTGAAAAGATTAATATTCTATCAACAACTGAGATATAACTCTATTCACAAATTCATGAGATAAACTAAATGAAGATGATGAAGCAGAAGCTATGAAAAATGAGAGCATTTGCTAGTGAGAAAATTCAGTTAATAATAATGCATTCATTAAGAAGTGAATAGAATAAAAAAAGAAATACATATGAATGATTCCTAAAATTACTAGATTAATTATGTGTATGGCATTGGTAACTCAAAAACATTTATTACAAATCAAACTGTATATATATATATATGAGAGGTCCATATGTCTCTGGTACAAACACAAGCCTGGTAACCTTTAGATGTGGAGTCCCAGGCTTGGAAAATGGCCTTTTAAAATCATTGTGTGATCAGTTTGTCTTTACTTTGGTGACCACTGTTTACCCATAAATTCTGTGCTTTTGAACTGACCTAAACAAAACAAAAGGTAGATGAACATACTAAAGGATGATGCTTTAAAATGGCAACATGGCTTTAAAACTAAACTCATTGGAGGAGTCAAGCAGGACCATTCAATGAGTTGTTCAATCATCAAGCAGGTCAGGGCTTGTTAGTGCCAGAGAGGTAAAAAGTTATTAACTCAGGGTGCTGATTTTTCAAGCATGTCAAGACTTTTTCCATTGCCTGAGAGCATTATGACAGCAGAGGGCTATTCCTAAACTCTATTGTGGCTTGTCTGACCATAACTGCTAATGGTAAGTTGTGTTGGGACTGATTATAATGTTAGAGAATACAATAAGGATATTAGGTTATTTGTGATCTTAGTGGGAATTTGTTTTAATATTATTAATAGTGATTACTTAATTATATGATAAAATTACCATCCATTTGTTCATGGTAATTGATAATGAAATGTCTTACAGGATGTTTTTAAACATAAGGATGTTGAGAAATAAAATTATTATTGATAATGTTAGAAAAGATGCAAAATCTTAATAATTTATGATATCATTCAGTATGACTGCATCACTGGAGGTTGCTATCTTGGGATCAACTAGATTTCTTCTCTGTGGCATCAGAGGTCAAATGTCAAATGGACTTAGTTTCCTGGTATTACTGCTGCTTACATTTTGAAAAAAACAGTCTTCCATAATTGGATCCATCCAGTCATTCTTGTTTGTTTTATTATATAAGAATATGTGATTGTGTATAAACTCTACATATTTATTTTGTACCTGCAAGAGTTATATTTTATGTCTCTTGTACAATTTCTAAAATAAAAGTGAAAGAAGAAAGATTTGTGTTTGTTTTTAACAAGGTAAGAAGAGTAGTAGTTACTTTTAAAAATGTACTACATAAGGATGTGATTTTTTCTCAATAAGGAAGAAAGCATGGTCTCTTATGATTTGAAATATGCTCTTCGATTGTGCTCAGAAGTTGAGGAAAGTGAAGCTTGTGTTCACATCTATACAACAATGGGTTTGTATGAGGAAGCTGTTGACTTGGCTCTGAAAGTAAGTTATATGTGTAGTGAATAAGTTAAATAAAAATTTTACTTTTAGATGCACATGGAAACTATCCTGAAGGTGAATTGAAGCACTGAATAAGTAATATATTTTGTTTACATACACATCTCTTTATTAAACTTTATAAAATGTAAGAAAATTTACAGTGTAAATGTTGGTTAAAGCCACTGTTATGACTGCAATACTATATATTAAAATAAAAACAAAATGTGTTTTTGCTAAACATCAGTTGTGACTGCCCATAAGAGACATGGCCTTTGATGTTCTTTTGTAAGATTATATTCCATTTGTCAGAATTAAATTGGAATATGAAAGCACTGGCATTATCTTCAACTAGCCTTGAAGATTTTATGTCATATTTAAACATTCTGGAAGTTGTTGTCTTAATCAAATACACAGTATTATAATATAATGTATGGTTTATTTTGTGTTTTTCAGTTTGATGTACAGTTAGCTAAGAAGAATGCTGATAGACCAGAAGACAATGAAGAATTGAGAAAAAAATTGTGGTTGAAAATAGGTCTGTTGCTTTTAAGTATGTTCTTCTTTATGATGAACAATAATACCAGTCTGTTTTATCTTTAGTAGTCAGCTTAATATTGCTTTACTAAAAGAAAAAGCTTGGTCTCTTACTATAGTTCTTTCCATCCACCCGGGTCAAAAAGCACATGTCATGACCTTTTACATTATTACATTTAAACTTTTTTTATCAGTGTATGTCACTAAACTTGGCATGGAAATGTAGTTTATAATTTAAGTTTTTATATTATCTAAGTTTTAACTTACTAAGTTCAAAGAGAATATAAAAAATTCATTTTTCTGTGTCATATGTTGTGTCTGAGCTCCTGTTCTCCACTTTAGAATTTTCCAACTTCTAAAATAGGCTGCTAAAGTTTCCAACTATTTGGAAATACAAACTAAACATAATTAAAAGCAATAACCTAAAATTTGAATATCCTACCTTCCTTATTTGGTGAGATATTAGTATATATTTGTCAAATTCATCAAGTGAACTTTCAAGATTGTTTGCTAATTAACTTTACATGGATGATAGACAACATGTATACAACCAATAGAAAAAGTAAATTCTCCTCTACATGTATATTTTACAATTCTGTGTTCAGTGTTCTTGCAATTATCTTTCACTTGATTGGAATTGCTTGGTCTGTGTTAATCAGCTTTGTTGATTGTTTAGAAAGTTAGATAAATCATAGTAGTTTTATGACATTCTGTTCCAGTGCCTGATATATTTTGTGTTCTAAAATGCATACTTGAAAACTCCATTAATTTTTTTTTGGACACCCAAACTTATGAAGGCTCACAATGAGGTTTAATGGAGAAAGTTAGATATTTTTACTCAAGTGGAAGCAGCTTAAGTATGTGGTGAGCAGTAGAAATTATTGCTTTTTAAGTATTATAACAGAGTAATAAAACTTTAAAAATTAGAAGCTTATAAGTCTAGCCAAACAAAACTTCAGGAAAATGAAACTAATATGAGTGTAGTTTTTGTGCTGGTGTTATATATCACACTAGGTCATATACTGTTTATGTTAACTCTAAGTAATCAACTAATAGATTCCCACTGTGACTTATTGCTTTAAACACAAGGATTACTGTCCCAGTGATACAAAGTACAGTAATAAAATTTAAATTAAATAGATATGTAAAAGGTTAACAGATGAAACTGTTAAGATAAGTAACTTGTAACTTTCTAATCAATACTGCAGTCAGTGAAGAGGAAAAAATGGTATTAATATTTTATTTAAAATTTTGAACTTTTCATTTTACTGTATGGCTACGATTTCTCTAAAGTTAGTGTTAGGTTGAAGAAAATAAGAAATAAAATATAAAGTTTTACCCCAAAAAACTTTATTTCCAATATGCTATCTTACCTCCTCTCACAAAAAGCTTTTCTTGACTTATACTGCTCTCTGTCAGTACAACATTTTGATCACCACTAGCCTTGATTCTCCCACTTACCCTCATGTATGTTAACATGAGATATCTGCATACTAACATGATTATACAGCAACCCTCCACCAATAGGAATGCAACACTACCCCTATCATAACTAGCACCCTCTCTAATGTTGCAGCTGTTAATCACTTCTCGATTGGCAATCTTTTTGTACAGACGTTTTTTGTTCATGGTTTGATTGACTCACACAAAAGTTTATATTGTCTTGTCTGTCAGGCCTTTCAACTTCTTTTCTAAATCATTTATATTTGTTATTTAACATTTTATTAATTCTGGTGGAGAGTTATGACATATATTTTTTCTTTTCTTTCTTCTCTCCTGCTTCATTTCCAAAAGTTTGGCAGTTTCAGATGGTCACTACTTCTGCTGCAGATTTCTAGACCACAGACCCAGGGTCAGAACCAAGTTTGTTGGAAAATGAAGTGATGGCTATGGTGCATCAGGAAGTGGTCATTTCATGTATCATTCAGAACAAACTGAGGATTGTCTTATCATACCTGCTCATGGTTTGATTGATTGGAAAGAGGCAGATTTGGACAGCCTTTTCTCTCCTCCTGAATGTCCCTCTCAGTTGCATGTCATTTTGGGAGAATTGGTCGGGCCTCCTTCATGTTTTGTGGACTTGATTAATCAGGTATTTTATATTCTGTCCTTATCTCCTGTTTCCTATGGTTTCACCCTTGCCCTTCTTGGGGACGAGTCTTTGGGTCAGTATTTAATGTTTCCTTCTTCCCCAGATATTCAGATTCATGTGAGTCGTTTTGAGAGAGCAACTGCATTTGGGGGTCAGTATGCCTCGACCCTCATGTACTTATGTACGATTTTGCTTTCGCTAATTATTGTTCTCACTTCTATTATGTAGCCTCAAAGCATTTGGAGTCTCTTATCCCATTGTTGGAATTGGACCCCAATTTTT